TTGTGTTGGTCCATAAAAATACGCAGCCTAAAAGTCCTTCAACACGTCGTGTTGAGGCTACTAACACGCTGAGTTCAAAAGGAAAAACATGCTTAAGGAAATAAATCTCATACTCGGGAATCGGGATGTTACACCCAACATACATGTTAAGTATGCCCAACGTATGCTGCTTAACCCAAGATTGCCTTAACTTCAAACGATCATAACTTCTTCATTTCAACTCCGATTTTGACGATCCTTATATCCACGGAAAGGTAATGGGAAGCTCTAAAATCCTATAAACTCTCCTTTTCCTTAAAACTTTATGAACTTAAATCCAAAATTCATAAAAGGCTCGAACTATCACTTTACAGTTATATCCTCGTGCTCCAAAGAACCAACCGAACTCTCGGATCACCTAATCTACATTAAGCACATCCAAAGGGGTGTAAATATCTCTTTCCACAAAGGCTCGAAGCCTTATACAACTGATCTTCAAGTCACGACCCCAAATTATGAAACAATTTGAAACACGGTGTTACAACTATCAGTGTTCATTGGAATGATCGATAGGTCTAGACTATTTTCAGTCACATAGAATATTAGACTAAGATGTAGTGATAATGATACTAGGTTTTGTCAAAGGAAAAGTCAGCTGTTAGAAGCAAAGCGTTGTCCGAATTTCGAGTCATCACTTTAACAAATAAGTGCATAGTTACTTTCATCTTACACATAGATATGAAGTATCTAAATAAATAAAATGTTATATGTGTTTATGTGCAAAAATGTTCTGTGTTAGATGAAATATTATAAAATGATTTTTATATAATTTACCACGTCTATTTTCTTACCTATATTGTATTGGTTAGAAATAGGTAATGAAGGTTGAATATAATAGAGAGGGAGATAGGAGATGAAAGATGAAAACGATAATAGGCCTTGACTTACTAGTACTTCAGGACTAAACGATGTAGTCATCTAGCAGAGTATATATGACAACCACATACTATTCTACGTTGTCCAATGGAACGCTAGCATGCTCGCAACACTAAAACCTGTTGACATGTATTGTGGATGGATTCCCTAAATTAATATTGTCAATAAAGAAAATGATCCTTATGAATGAATATAGAAGAAAACCTACTGATAAGTATCATGGAGGAGTCCCTGAACTAGTACTGTCAACATAGATGATCATTGGGGTAGACCCTTCAGAATAAAGAAGATAACATGAATGGGAAACTAGATTAATTGTTTGATAATTAAACATATTAATTATATTATTGTGGGTTGAAAACCCTATGTACTCACCAAGTTTCCCAATCTGACCCACTCAGTTTATTGTATTATAGGTAGAAATTTAAAAGATACATTCCGCTGAGAGATTCGAGGAGTATTACGCCACTAGTTTAATTACTGTGAGGCCTATAATATTTCAATATGCTTATGTTTCTGTATTGATGATGACATCTCGAGATTTAATAAAACACATTTCTTCAAAAAATAATTTGATAATATCATTACCATGTTTTGGGACAAATTCTACATAAATAATCGTTTCAAAAGAATACTCTGAATTACATAAGTATAATTAAATCGGTATTTTCTGACAGTGAAAATAAGGATGTCACAACCTAAGTGAGCCTATCTTCTCAAACAATAGTAACAAACACAACACAATCTCAAGATCTTCAACCGGACCATAATTACATCCTAAATTACAATCTTAACATCATATACTTGATATTATAACTTAATCTAGTTGTGTTGAAGGAAATGTATGGTTGATAGTTTGGGGTAACTTGGTCAATAAGGATGCAATGGAGTATAAGTGTGGAGTCATGCATTGGTTTAATAGGCATAATCTAAGATCAATTTATGCATAGACATGAATAATCCTAAACCGATTAATGAACACTTAACTGGAGAATATGATATCCCATTGATGTAAAGATGACAACTTCACATTACAAATCTTTCACTTTCCGTAATGGTGTGACTGATCGATTATGATTGTAACATCCCAAAAACCAGGACTAAAATTTTCATTTTTAAAATAATAAACACGTCCACTTTTACATAATTACATTCAAGTCAAACCATTTTCTCATAAACCATTATTTAGAAGTCCCGCCTTCGCAATCCGATAAATAACTGCAAAATAGTTAATCCACAACTGTAAGCACAAATCTTAGTGAGTTTCCCCAAAATATCACATACAACACATTATAATAAGCAATTATAGGTTATTCGTAACCCTGGGGACCATCATCAGTCCCAGTGGACTAACAGCATGCCATGTGGATTAACAACACACCTTACGAGTTATTTGCAACCCTGGGGACTAATAGTAGTCCCATGGATTCACAACAGTCCAGGAGTTATCAGTAACTTAATTCACATATAACGGCAGTCACAAATAAGACCCAACTAGTCAGCATGAATATACTACCACACAAGCAAGTATAGTGGGAGGAATCACCTCGCAATGAGCAGTTAAACACCACAGCTCTCACCCAACAAATATTGATCCTACAAGGTACCTGACAGCAATAAAGAGTACCCTCTCAATCTACACTCCAAAACCCTTAGTTTGACCAAAATTCAACCAATGCCAAAAGTCAGCGGTCAAAGTCAAAGTCGATAGCCACAATACCAAAAATTGATTGTCACTTTGTGACCAACCCATGGTCACGTCGTGGCCAACAAGTTCAACCCCGATCCAAAACTCCATATTCGACAAATCAACTGCGACCAAAACCATCGCCACATCGTGAGTACCATGCCCTCACGTTGTGACTAAGCCAATCCAAAATAATCGAGATAAAGCTCATTGTCACATCATGACCACCATATGGTTACATTGTGACAACAGCAGATTGGGACACTTCATGCATTCAACCCTTAATCCTTAAAGCCATACAAATTCCAACTTCTAAAGGGCCTTCTTACTCCAAAACATCCTAAAAATCGATGCTTTATATACATACATGTACAATACATGTCTTGATCTCATAAAAGGCCAAAATGATGAAGAAAAGGAACCACACTCACATGAATGACATCAAAACTCAACCAAACCTCAGATCCATGAAACACAACCTTCAAGGGACCATAAAGACCCATAAAGTTGTCAACTTTATGGAATCATCCCATCCAAACTTCCATAATATGATGAAAAGGGAACAAATAGCCTAGATCTGGAAGCTAACATCATAAAGTTTGGATCTTTAATACTTACAATGGTCCAGAATTGTCTCAAACTCAAACTCGAAGCTTGCCAAGAGGTCTTCTACACCACAAGGGTCTTCTTCTTCTTCCTTCCAAGGACACCAAAAATCCACGAATAAACTCACAAATAAAGACGAGGCCTACTAGGGTTTGATCAAAGCTCTAGAGGGTGATAGAGGCTGGAAATAAAACCCTAAATCCGATATTATGGGTTTAAATACGAAGGAAACCCTAAAAGATCATAGACTTAGGCTGCAACCCTTGTCACCTCGTGACCATACACATGTCACATCGTGGCTAGCCTATGGATACGCGTTCTCAATCTTGATTTGTCACGTCGTGACCTCCTTATGGTCACATCGTGACTCATGGTTTTTTCCGAAAACCATGCATTTGACTCCTTAATGCCCTACACTGATCCATTATGGAAAACGAGTGTTGCAATGATGGATGAATCACATAAATGATAATGGTGTTTTACAAAGGATTTAAAATGCGAAAGGAATGAACGTTAACCTCTCTAATGAAACACACACCCTCTTTACGTGTATGTTTTTTTACCAATTACACCTTATGGGAAAGTTTTAGAACCACACACAAAAGTAGTCCCTCGAGTTATAGACATGTCATATGCAACATACTATACATACTTAAGTCTAGGTACCAAGTGTACCCATCATATAATAAATATTACAAGGATAATCTGAATGTCATACTAACAAATTATTTTGCAACATTGTAAACTCGACAGTGAAGTAAATTGTGTTGTTGAATATGAGTCCCATATTGGTGTGGATATATATTATCGTATTTATGTGCGTACTCATACCCAATATATATTTTGTTCTCGTCCTAGAGAAGTATGTGTGAGAGAAACAACATATTAAGATTTTCTCCATCGTTTTTTTGACTCTTCATCTAGTTCAATTCTATAAAAGTTGATCGTCTTGTTAGTTGTTAAAGTTCTTAATCCACCATTCAGTCTTTTAAAACTTGTTCTTTAAGTTTCAATCTGTAATTTTTAAAAAGGCACACCCTACAAAAAACGGACTAACAAGATAATTCTATTTTATTTTGGTAATACAAATTGAAAAATTAATGTTCAAAGAGCTATACATAAGTTAATCGTGGTCATGTTACCAAATCAGAATACCATCACCAATAATAAAATCTAAAACTTCTTATGTGATATGTCTACTATAAACTGTAATTATGTTAATATACAAATAAATAATCGGACATCGAAAACTTCCCTAAAGCAAATATATTACAATATCACATTGGCGGAGAAAGTAACTTGTATTCTATGCTTAATTAGAATCTTATATATATCAGCTACGTACCCACAAAAACTCGATCCAAGACCATCATGAAAACATATATTTATGAACATCAACTTAAATTCTTCCTATCGTATCCAAATATCTTATTTTTATGGATAAACAAAAAAGACTAATATTTTGTATTTCTCTATATATGTAACTGTATAAAAGATGTATAATTCAACGTTAGAAAGTCAAATTTTGAATAAACTCATATTTCCAAGGTTCATTGAAGCAACAAAAATACCAATTTATGTTCCCTGGTTATGAGAATTGTTCGGTGTTATTTTTTCACAAATCAAACACAAACCTTTGATTTGATCCTCCAAATAAGGATCTAAAAGACCAATTTGTGTATTTAAATACCATACTTGTCACTCATACTAACTACATTGCCCTCCAATCCCATCATCTTTTCACCCTTAAATAAATTATATTCCAAAGATCAAATATCAAATATATTTAATCATGGTCTCTCTCTCTCTCTCTCTCTCTCTCTCTCTCCCTCTCTCTCTCTCACACACACACACACAATATTTTATGTGTTTTCATATGCAGTACATAGATCATACTAAATGATGTATCTCTCTCTCTCACACACACACACAAACATGCATTTTAAAATACAACAATCTTATTAATGATGTTCATTGAATATGTATAGGCTAACGCAGCATCTGGAATGGCTGTGAATGATGAGTGCAAGCTAAAGTTTTTGGAATTGAAAAAGAGAAACTATCGATTCATAGTTTTCAAGATCGAAGACAAATCACATCAAGTTGTTGTGGAGAAATTAGGCCTACCAAATGAAAGTTATAATGATCTTTTGAACAACTTGCCTAGCAATGAATGTCGCTATGCGGTCTTCGACTTTGATTTTGTCACCAAAGAGAATTGCCAAAAAAGCAAAATTGTCTTTTTTGCTTGGTAAGCACACAAACCCCTCATTTTTAACTACCACTAACATTTTGTATCACCTTCTTTGCTCAATGTGAGATTCATACCTATGGAACTTGGGACTCATGAGCTTACATTTTATGGATAAGACTTATAAAATCAAAATGTTTGTGATTAATCAGGTCTCCAGATTCATCAAGGGTGAGAAGTAAGATGATATACGCAAGCTCTAAGGACAGGTTTAAAAGAGAGCTAGATGGGATCCAATTCGAGCTCCAAGCAACAGATGTTGGTGAGATGAGTTTAGACATCATCAAATCAAGAACTTATTAAATTTAAAAAGATAAAATCTTGGAAAATTAATAATACATTGGAGGGCAATTCATCCATTATAAAATGATTCCATAAACATGCACTAGGGGTTTGTTGAGGTTCGATTCATAATCTTATGTTTCCTAAGAGACTCTAATTCAAAAATGTGTATCATTGATCTTTTGAATATAAATAATTATTTGTTTCACATTCGTTTTTAGGTTTCATTATTGCTTACAATCTCCTCTATCATCTCATTATGCATGTTTTTTTTATGCTCATACATGCCATGACACCAATAAGAATAAATACTACACTTGACCTTAATCACAAGGACATACACAATAAACGATATCAACACATTCAATGGCTTCAATTCAAACATAAAATAAATCATAAAACAAAACTATACAAAAAAACCCATCATTCAACTCTACTCGCACATATTAGAATCGCAGATTTCATCTCTTCTTTTCCCATCGATGTCTCAACAATCACCTGCTCATAAACAAAAATAAATAAACAAATAAATACAATTTATTTATTACGTATCGTTAAGTTATAAATATCATTTTTATCACCTCTTGTACTTTGTTTCCAGCTCTTGCAAGCAATTTATACTCGTTTTCAAGCACAGACGCCATATAAACCTGCCCAAATAATACAATTCATAAAACACATTTTATTTAAAAAAATTAATTTTTAAAATTTAAACATTGCAATAAGAATACCTGAAAAGTCGGGGCCAAACCCGGGCCCACAAAAAAACGGCCTTTTTTCACATTCTCAATGCCTTTGTATTGCTGCAGTTCTTTTACAAGTGATTCAACTTCGGGCCACTGTTTATTTTTTTAATACATTATATCAATAATTAATCAAGAAAATGTTTCTTTAAAAAAAAAAAAAAACCTCTTCATCGGATTGGGCTGCTTCTAATTGTCCATCCAAGTTTGCTTGATCACCAACAACAGCCTCCAAAGCCTCAATCAATGGATCTGGCTGCCACAAGACAAGGGTAAAATTGTAATTTTGATACATATTTTTATTGATAAAATATTTAACTTGGAAGATAAATTACTGTAATGTCCTTCAACGATAAGAATATACGTTCAAGTGAAAAATCTAACTGATGAACCTTTGCTTCAATGACCTACAAATAAGATTATTGTAATTATCGAGAAAAGTATAAAAAGATTATAAAATAATCCAATTAATATTTAACATGTTTATATTATATAACACAAATCACACCTGTCCAATTTTAAAATAGGAAATCGGGTCCAAAGTATCATCCCATGACACTTCAGTCTGGTGAATCAGTGCAGGTACTCCATCCACCTACAAGGGCAATTACGTCTTTTAATCATGGGTAAAAAATATTTTACTTTCGATAAGGTAAAAACAAAATTATAATAATACCTCAACGAAAATCCCATAGTAAGTAATCTTTTTTATGAAACACTTTACAATGTCTCCAACGCTAAGCTTAGCCTACAAGAGTAGAAAATATTAAAATAATGAAAAATCATATTTTAAATAAGATAAAAAATCTCACCATGAGACTTCGCTTTCTTTCAACCGATTCATCTTTCTCTTTTGGTTTTGCAGAAAATATTAGCTTGTTCGATCCTCTATCAGCCAAGACCACGTTGACTTTGACTTTCTGCAAAAGTCAAACACTTCAAATCGTTTCAAAACATGAACAACAATGTTTGTTAAGAAGATGAACAATTCAAACCTGACCAACAAACGAAGACAAGTATTTGAGTTTTTCTTGGTCATAAATTGCAAGAAGGTCCTCAAGTTTCATATCAGGTGATATTTCACCCTCCATTTTTTTAGGATCTATGGTCGATATTGGTAATGCGTTGTTTGTCGCATCATATCCTCCAATAACACCCAGATTTTTCCTGAACATTGCAGGATCCAATCCTTTCTTCCTCAACCATGATTCAAAAGCTAAATACTTCCACTTAGTCGCAAGATTTCGGTAAGGCAAAAACCCTATTAGAGATCCGAAAGATGCCTGTACAACAAGGGCAAAAAGGTAAAATCACCATGAAGGTAAATTGGGTAATCCTCAAAATGAAGAAAAGCTTCAGCGCTTACAACGAAACCCCGAGTGCTAGAGTTTATGAGTTCCACTTCTTCTCTTCCTTCTGTCTTGATCAAATTTTCAGCTCTTTTCCAATCGTTATCTTCACGCTCCTATTATATAAAATCAGTCGATATCAATAACTATCGTTTATCATTCTATTTATCTATAATTTTATCACGAATATACAAGAAAATCGGTGAATAATACCTTTAAGAATGGTGTTGTAGGCAAGTTTTCAGTCTCGAGAGTGTTATCATATGGTATTGGGTTCGTGGGACCCGTAACTACTCTCTCGATCTTTGATGTATCTTTTACAGATTGATCTAATCTATAACACATCAACCATAAGAAACCATAGATTTGAAAGAAGAAACATTAATTTTTAATTTGGGCATGTGTGATCCGTGTTGTATAATAAACAAATTGAAAAGAAAACACAATTTTTTACCTTTTAGGTGGTCCTCTCAATGCAGTATCCAGAGACATTTGCGAAGTAGCTGCTATATCAATGGTGAAACACAAGAACATAAAACAGTATGTAAAATTCATCTGTAAAACTTTCATAAGCGCAAAAAACTCATAAATCCTCACAAACAAATCGCATGTTTGATACGGTTGTTTTACCTGTTACATCATCACTCTCCTGATCAATCTTATCCTGCACATTTTCCATCTCAAAAGCTAAATCCACATTTGCTAAACTGTTCTTGATGTCATCAATTTCAGAATTCGACTCATTCTGATCCTTAATTTGATCCACTGTGATTTCAGGCTTCTGTAAGAGTGCAACATCCGTTTGGATTGCACTTAAATCAACACTTGTTGAACTGTTCTTGATGTCATCAACTTCAGAATTTACCTCATTCTGATTTCTAAGTTGATCGACTGTGATTTCAGGCTTCTGTGAGAGTGTAACATCCGTTTGGATTACACTTAAACTCTCTGTATCATCTTCCATAGCTTCTGTTTCTTCTTTTTGCAGAAAGGGTTCAGGTTTCCTCACCATTGTCAAATCAGTCAACCTTTCTGTCTCCTGTTCTTTACTCATCTTAAATGAGAAATTTGGTCTCTGTAACATTGATGTCGAATCATCATCTTTAAAAGTAGTGGGTTTTCTTAATTCAACATTTGGGACAGTTTCTGTAGGAGTATTATTACCCACATCCTTTTCTAACATTTGGTTTGGTTTCTTTACTTTGGGTACTACAGATACAGGCTTATCATTTGATTCAAATTTGACTCCTTTCTTGGGTACGGGTCGGGTCAAATTTAGTCCATCGAGTGAATTCTTGGATGCGGATACGGGTCGGGTCAAGTTTAGCCCATCGGATGGATCCTTGGGCACGGGCCGGGTTAACTTTGGCCCATCAAGTGAATCGTTGGGCTTTCTTCGAATATCAGATACATCAAATGGGACCTCCTCTATGTCATTAAAGGCTTTAAGACCTTTCTTATTGTATAATTTCTCAATATCCAAGAAAGATAATTCTGGGTGTGATTTTCTAGCGATTATCTGAAAAAGAAAATGGAAATACACATAAAAAGGATCAAAATGTGAAAGGGAGCTTAGCAGTGTAATTACTGCTATCAAATTATCAAATTCAGATTAACTGAAGAAATATACATCACTTCAAGATTCAGTTTATAACAGCAAATGACTAGGGTTCTACTTGACTACTTCAATTTTTAGAATCCTAACAAAAATAATGTTCAAAAAGCTCATCATATAGACTTCATCTGTAATCTTTATCATATCTTATCAGAGTCAGTTATAACAATATGATATTTTGAACAACACCCAAATCAAATTGACAGTAAAATTCTACTTGTCTTTTCAAATTTCAACTACAAAATGTCAGAAAATAATCTCTCAGCATACAATATGCTATTTCCATTAAAAAAAAAAAACGAACTAATCGTATCAAATCTAAACTTTGAACATAACCCAAATCAAATTCCCCGTGGAATTCTACTTCTATCTTCAAAATTCAACTAAAATGTGAAAAAAGCTAGTTATTTAGAATCGAATTGTGTTCTTTTTACCACAGAATCGGTATCTTTTCAACAAGTTATCTCTTTAGTTTTATGAGTAAGATATACAGCAACTTCAAACAACACTACTTGCACAAACAACTGTAGAGAAGAATTTGGAGAGAAATGGACCTTGGCAAGGGTAAGTTTGGGGTCTTCACCGATCATTTTCCCAAACTTAAGCTCCATTTGGTCCCAACTGTCGAATTTATCTTCATCTTTAGCAGCACAAAGTGCAAATCTTCTATGTCGTTTGTGATGAAAAGGAAGATTTCTGTAAATTCTGGGATTTTTATAACAAGGGATCAGAAATCTAAATTTCGAAGCATCGGTGGTAGTGGTTGTGGTGGTGAGAGAGAGACTCTCCATTTTTCAAGAAAACGGAAACAAACTCATCAGCTGTAGCCGATAAGCTCTTGAACGTGATTCCGTATGTGAGTGTGAGAGAGAAAGAAGGAGAGGGGAGGGGTCTATCCGTTTGTGTCTTATGGGTGTTTCTTGGTTATTTTAGTAGTGGTGACGCGCAAAGTAAAGTTTGAGAAACGTGAAGGGGCTACATTGAGAATAATCATAAGTTTATGTCCTTGTCTGTAAATATAGTGGAATGTAAATAGGGGGAGATCAAAATAAAATCGTTATAAATTAGCTTTGGATAAGGGAAATTAACTTGTTATTTAACTATATTTTTGGTATTTTACATATAGGTAAAAAAAAATTGTAATATATTTAGCCAACTAATTTGTTTTAGTTGTTTATAAACAACATTCTAAATAACGTGAGGCGTGACTTGATAACAAAGTTAAAGTTAAATCATGACAAACATTGACGAACTATGATGTTACGACGTTTTTCAAGGTCTGACTATTTCATATATACATTAAAAGAAATAAATCATGTAATTATTGGATTTTATCAAATATATCAAGTTTTTAGAAGTTTTATATTAATATTTAATATAAAAAAATTAATAAACATTCAATTATTTTAGGTACGATAAAAAAACCAAAAAAAAAAAAAAAAAACTTAAATAAAAAACCCTCACATTGAAAAAAACTTGCATCATAACGCGATAAGACACTCTTTAACACGTTATTATGGGTCATGCTACTCGCCTTGGATGTTTTCATAACGACTACATCATGCCTTGCGCGAGGCGTGCCATAACGCACTTTTTAGATCCATGTTCATAAGTGATCATTATTACCAACTATCATTTGTTTGGTTGATGTGGCATCTACATGTCTATACATTGAAATACATTGCATCTACATGGCATTGTACACATGAGTTGTCGAGTACAATATAAGCAGGGTGGGATACGACAACTGCTCATTAATTAAGCCCTATCGATCGGTGACTTCTTATTCCTCATCTTTTTCTTTCAAATGACATGACGAATTTCAAGTTGATCATCCATGTGATTGTAAACAACCATCTTGTGTGAAAATTTCAAGGATCCCCTGTAAGGCCCTGTTTCAAATCGTTTCCATTTCAGGGTGGTGATCAAGGATTGGGTATTAGCAGATGTAGGATCTTTGAAGAAGTAGTTTTAGGCTCATTTGGAGATGGATGATGTATATTGAATGATCCGGGTATTCGGTTTGTGGTTTGGAGTTAAAGGATATTTTGATAATTTGGCAACTCGGGCTTCTATGGAAATTGGATGTTTGTTCGTGATATGGTAAGGCGGGTACGAGTCGATTAAATCATAGAGCTTCTCGTTACCTTTTCATGGATGTATGTATTGTCGAAATCGGATGTATAGCGAAGAAGTTATGACCTTCGGAGTATATTAGGGTTAAGGGGTTAAGCAGTACGCGGGGGCGTACATATATGTACGCATGGCATACTAGTTCTAAAGCCATTACACATGGCGTATAATGGTGTACACAGGGTGTACAAATGCAAGGCAGAGTCGCGCCTTCAAGCACGTACGCGGGGCATACATGCATCTTAATGAAAACCCTAATTTCCATGGTGTACCATATATAATCTCATTAAGTCTTTTTGGTTGGTCCTTATACCAGCCTCCAGGTTCCCAAAACCCCAGAAAAATCATCTCTAAACCTTCATGATGGTATTTTTGAGGTCATGGTGTCTATTTTTGGTGTGTTTGATCTATTTCCAGAATATGGAGTTTGGTGCAAGGATGGGGATCAAGATAAAGCTTATGGATCTGGATTATGGGCTTCATTTCTAGCTTGTTGGAGGTATAAAGATATGAACTTGATCATTGATGTCTTAGATCTAGCATGTATGAGTTTTTGGTTCATTTTGGTCCCACAAATGAGGTCTAGTGGTTTGGTACCACTCCACGAGCTATGAGTTGCCACTCTTGGTGTTTCTGAGGTTCTAGATGCACAAGGTTGCTTCTTTAGGGTTTGGAATTCCCCATGTTTGAGTTGGTGTCTATTTGGTGAAAATTTAATGCTTTAAGTTGATGTTGGGTTCTTTTGAGGCTTGCAAAGTCATAAAGTCAATGACTTTATGGGTCTAGATATTGATTACGACTCAGATATGTGGTTCGAACCTTTAGGCTAAGCATTAAGTGCTTAATGGCAAAAGTTGGCTTAATAGAGTAGTATGTTGGGCGTATAAGTTTGTACGTGCAGCGCACAAGCCATCAAGCGTGTATGCGCAACGTACATCTGGGTACACCCCGTGTACTTAGTCAGGAGGGTTTGGCCTTTTGGGCTTCGTGTTGGGCTGCCTTTTTGGCTTGGGTGTTTGAGTTCTTTATGGGCCATCTGATTATGAGTGTCTTGCACTAGGAATTTTGGTTGGGCTTTAGTGTAAGGCCCATGTAAGGGGTTTGGGCCCAATTTGGAAATTTTGTCCATAATTGGGCCTTGGTTGGTTATTTGACATTTGGGCCTTTTAGGCTATGAGTTTGGGCCTTGGTCTTTGATCAAGCTAGGTTAGGGATAAAATGGGTTTTTACCCCAAGTATGGATTTATGGTTATGGTTTGGAACCCAATTGGTAATTGGGTGTTGTTTTGTTTTTGACAGTTCCCGTATGCAAGGTAGATAACTCACAACACATCAAAAGAAAAGGTGTACTCGGATACTAATACTAACACTAAATCTCCAACATATCACATCAAGTATATAGACCATGATAAATTCATTACAACCACACCCTCCTTGAATATGCACACATCATGTACATGATATGGTAATCATAGTAAAATATCTTTAAGTATGCGTCAAATTTGTTACATTGTTTCCATTGTGTATACCATCAAGTTAACACCTACAATACATGAACATAGTATATAAATCACACATATTATCCAAGAATAAAATACATCATTTCATTCTATCATATCAAATATGTTAATCCATATCTTTTTATCGATCTTTACCCACACATGATAATGGATACTGTTAATTGTGACTTGTGCATTTGGAGCATTCACATGGAGTACTTGGAACTCAATGGAGCACTTAGGGCTTGTGGAGAATTTGACAAAGGAACTAATCATGTGAGAAAGGAATGGATCTCCTGACAAAGGAATGGATAAGGTGACAAATGAACACATCTTCTAAAAGAGGGTATGGAGCATCTTGGTGCATGGATGCGTCATTTATGATCATGAAGGGCCATCTTATGCTTAAAGCGCCATTATGGATGAAGAAGTGCCATCATATGGTTCTAGAAATGCTAATTTGGTAGAAGTGTCATTCTGGATGAAGAAGCGCCACTTTGAAAGAAGAAGTGCCACTATGGTTCTAGAAGCACTATTCATGAGGAGGAAGCGTCATCCCTGGGGAAGAAGGCCAAACCTTGCACAAGAATCATCATTCTCATGTTAAAGTGTCATCTTATCTCAACGATGTGTCACTTGTGTTCCTTGATGAATCGTATGCTATGAAGTCTCTCTGTGATGCTCAAGATTGTCTAAGGATGCCATGAAGTTGAAGAAGCTCAAGGAATACACCTTGATGCGCCACCATGATGAATGAAGCGTTATTAGTGTTCATGATGTGCCACATGTGCATCATTATGTGTCGTTATGGCTCATGATGCTCCATCATGTGTGTTGTTGATGCTCATGGGTTACATGACACTGATGAATGTTCTAGAAGCTACTACATGGCTAATTGTGGTTGGTTGACATCATTCATGGGCCTATAGGCCAATAGGATTGGTCTATTAGGGTTTTGAGTATGATCCCTTAAGTATAAATATGGATTCATGCTAAGTCATTTGCATTTCTTGTAATTCTAGAGTGATAGGAATATCTACTTGTAACCTCTGTTTGTGAGCACTGAAATAAAAAATACTCTCATGCTGCCCATGAACATAGGTTACTTTGACCGAACCACATAAATATTGTGTCTTGTGTGCTTGTGGTTTTGCTAGTTATCCACTTTACCTCCTAACAAATACCACATAACTCGTTCTTTTAATTCATTTCTCAATTACATTTTACATACTATTTGTTAGTTGTACATTGCTACCAAAGTATCATTTACATTTACAAGTGTTGGAGCTATCCTCATTCCTTAAGTGCTCTCTGGAAAAGAAATTTGTCCACTAATCTAACATGGTATCATAGGTGGTCTAGCAACTCAAGTTCTCAACACATGTCTTTTCTAATCTCATATGGACATTGTCTTATTGAATGTTATAAAGTCCCACATTAGCCAGACACGCTCTTGTTTGTCTTTGTTATGTTTGAGTCTACCTCATCTCTCCAATGGCTTTTTGGAGAGAAAATAAAGGCCTATCCAACATGCTATTAGAGCGTGGTTTAGTATCCCACAAAATCAATGCACGTCAAGTCTAATCTTATTGATTCTCCATATCAAGGTGTAGGTTATAATCCCACAATTATAGGATACAATCTTATTTTCCTCTATGTATCCTAGAGTTGCACAAACAGAAAATACCAAAAATCATAAACAACTATCTTGAATCGAGTTAGTCTTTACAATAATCAACAAAAAATAAGGAAACGTCAAGATTTCAACTAAAATCTATCATATCTCTTTCCAAGCCGCCGACAAACATCGCGCCTCATCATCTTCATAAATTCCTACAAGTACCGAATGTAGATGAATTAAAAAAAGATTTTTTTTTGTAAAAGCCTCGAAAAACTATACTCGTGGGGTGAAAGACAAAGAAATTAAGGGAAAACCTCAGCAAGTTCTTCATCTGAACATAAATCAGCAAGACCATATATATCTTGAATATTTTCATTCAAAAGAGCGGTAGTTTCAATTACAGATGAGAATATCTCTAAAGGTGGATACTCGTCTTCAATCTTTTTAGCTACTTCTTTGAGATTCATCTGAAAATACAAATCATTAAGCACATTAAGAAACAATTTAAAATAGGAAAAAATAATTAATGAATTCAAATTTGTAGGCTTTTTTTTAAACATAAATGGGGGCATTGTCACAAACATTTTTTTAAAACTTTTTGCTTATTTATTTAACAAACCTGACAATCTACCGATGAGCCCTTGATGCTTGCACTATCACTATAACAACGACGATGAAGCTCTTTTTTTATGGGCGGATGATGTTCAAGTAAATTTAATCCCGAGTCCTCATGATAAAAAGCTTGAGAGAAAAAAGGCATCATTTGTTGAACCATAAAGGACATATCAAGGTCGCTATCAAAACCACTGTCGCCGCCTCCTTGGCATTGGGGCTCACTCATAGCTGAAAACATGCTACCTAAATCTTGATTATCATCCATATGTTGACCAAGTTGACCGATCGCTCTCATCATTTCGGGGTTTCTAGTTATTTGATCCAACATATTCCTTAAGAAATCTTGAGATTCCATTTCAGTTTGATTTGGTACTCCGTCTAAGAGACCAATCAAAGCTGGATTCTGCATAAACTGATTGATGATTGTATCTGGATCTAATTGGCCAACGGCGAATGGATGAATTTGGTTTGTAGGAGTAAGAAAATCTGGACTAGAATCGTCGTCATCATTATCTGCATATGACACTGTTGGTCGTGCTTCTCTCTAAAATCACAATTCGAAATTTA